ATGTAATACCAACCATTACATTATATCAACCTCAATCATTTTTATTGCTGGTAATGCACGTCCTACAACTTTCATGTGTAACACTATGTACCTGTTCAGTCCAGATGTTGATCTGCTAACAACATAGATATGGTTGACATTAAAGATGAGGCAAGTTGTCATAGTTGGCTTGCATCTGGTTGTTATGATGACCTTTCATATGGTTTAAATCTATCAATGTTTTCAACTCCTGCCTCATCATATCATTTGTAATAGCTGTTGGGGATTCCGTGAAGGGAATCCTGCACAAATAAATAAACAACGCCAGTAATTGAGATCGAAAAATAAGTGTATTAACGTAAGAATACAAACTTGAGGTGAAGATTAGTAGTCTAGGGATGCGGGTTAATAGAAAGTATATGTACAAGTCTCTGTAAGTAAAGCCGTAATCATCTCTCTCTCTCTCTCTCTCTCTCTCTCTCTCTCTCTCTGGACTCTTGTATAACTTTCTGAGAACACCCTGTGTCTGTCTCCGTATCTCTCAACCTGTCTCAACGTATCTGATTAAATGTCATATGTACGCATGCATATAGACACTTGTAATATCTAACCCTGTACCAATATGTAATACCAACCATTACATTATAGCAGCCAGAAGCAAACCATCTGTATCAAATTGCCCCATCGTCCTGCTGCAACAAGGTTTTCAGATCATCATTTGGACTGAGCAGGCACGTGGTTGCACACAGGAGAGTTGTAAATCATGCATATCCAATCAACCCAATCAGGGATATAGAACTTATCTTCCATATATGCCTGTTTGCAATGAAATTGAATGCTGATTTCAAGAGTCATCTTAGTGGCCATGGATGCCGAAACTTGATAGAAGCTATTGTGGGGCTCTCATCTTTTTACTTTTACTGACAGAGAGAATACCTGCTTCTGAGATACGATGAGATACGTTGAGACAGGTTGAGAGATACGGAGACAGACACAGGGTGTTCTCAGAAAGTTATACAAGAGTCCAGAGAGAGAGAGAGAGAGAGATGATTACGGCTTTACTTACAGAGACTTGTACATATACTTTCTACTAACCCGCATTCCGAGACTACTAATCTTCACCTCAAGTCTGTATTCTTACGTTAATACACTTATTTTTCTATCTCAATTACTGGCGTTGTTTATTTATTTGTGCAGGATTCCCTTCACGGAATCCCCAACAGCTATTACAAATGATATGATGAGGCAGGGGTTGAAAACATTGATAGATTTAAACCATATGAAAGGTCATCATAACAACCAGATGCAAGCCAACTATGACAACTTGCCTCATCTTTAATGTCAACCATATCTATGTTGTTAGCAGATCAACATCTGGACTGAACAGGTACATAGTGTTACACATGAAAGTTGTAGGACGTGCATTACCAGCAATAAAAATGATTGAGGTTGATATACCGTAAAAGAAACTCAACCAAATCAAAAGAATGTGGAGCGCCAGAGAAGAGATGCATTACGAATTGCAAATCTTCCTCCGAGAGTTGCTATGTCTGCATCATCAGCATTCAGCAAATCATGAATCAGGCGCTCAAAGTTCCTGCATTTGGTGTTGAGCCTTATGTGATTGAACACACTTCCTGGTGTTCTGAATCGCAAGGAGACTCCTGCCCCAGCTTCCTGTCGAAAATACCTTTGTTGTTAATACCAAGGTTGGCAGATCAGCATCTAAACTGAAAAACCAATCGGTGTTACACAAAACAGTTGTAAAGCATGTAGATCCAATCGACCCAATCAAAATAGAGAGCTTATAACAAAAGAAATTGAATACTGGTTTCAAGAGTCATCTTAACGACCATGGATGCCGAAATGAGATGAGATGCAATTACAAATGATACGACGGGTGAACTGGCAATTCTAATACGTGACTATCGGTATCTCCATTGGATAGGCCATGTCATTTGATTTGAGGACATCAAAATACACAATAAAAGGCTTCATGACGAATTGCTCTACGGATCGCGAGCCTAAGATAGATCAAGGAAACATTTCAAGACTTTCTGAATAATGTAAATAATGCAAGTAATCATAATACCTCATCTCAGAGATATAGACAGATATATAAAGAGACATAGACATAAAGGCCGAAGCGTACATCGGCCGAAACGTTGTGAATATTGTAATGAAGATGAGGATAACAGTCCGAATAATGTAAATAATGCAAGTAATCATAATAACTCATCTAAGAGATATAGACAGATATATAGAGAGACATACACATAAAGGCCGGAGCGTACAACTGCCGAAACGTTGTGAATATGGCAATGAAGATGAGGATAACAGCCCGAATAATGTAAATAATGCAAGTAATCATAAAACCTCATCTCAGAGATATAGACAGATATATAGAGAGACATAGACATAAAGGCCGGAGCGTACAACGACCGAAACGTTGTGAATATGGCAATGAAGATGAGGATAACAGTCCGAATAATGTACATAATGTAAGTAATCATAATACCTC